GACAATGGCTGGAAACTCTACTATTGAGTTGGTATGGTTGTGTTGTTAAAAGATATGCTGTTTTCAGAAATATGGCATTTTTTTTATATGGTTGCGCGCCAAACGGGGCCTAATTATGGCCCCGAGTGAGTGATACTCTGTGTATTAAAGTAACTTAGCTTGTCATCTCATGCCGGAGATCAACTTAAAGAGATGGCATAATATCACTTCTTCCGTCCTCCCTTCTCGGCATTTTTTTCTTTCCCTCCGAGAAAAAAAGAAAGAAAGAAAGAAAGAAAGAAAGAAACCCATGTGAAAATGCTGGTATGTTTATTGGGTAAGGTGATCTTTTGCTGAGTCTGGGGGAGTTGCGGTATTATATTAGCACTCGTACGGTGATATGATATCGTTAGTATGTGCGAGCCTATAACTTATACGGCGCATAGAAAATTATGGATACTACTGGAGCCCCTCGGCTTTTCTTCCTTTCTTCTGCTTTCAAGTATTGGGGTTTTTAAGTTTATTTAAGACTGGAACTACCGTATGAATGAGGCGCTCTCTATCAGTATTATCTACAGCGTCTTCTGACGGACGCCGTGTAATTGGTGTGTGCGTTTCCAGTAGTCCATCAGATCATGCTACATCCGCTGCTCAGTACGGTAGTCTGGAACAGCCCAGCTTGCTTACTTAATTTACCTAGCCTCGGCGAGTGGAATCTAGCAGGCAATCATCGCACCCACTTCACGAACACCTAAAACCATTAATAAAAAATCGTAGAAGTCTCATAATGTGATGTCCGTAATATAATACACAAATAAATTGGGGAGGAATAACCAAACACTGATCGTGGGAACATAACCAACAAAAAAAGCGGAACCTAAAAATTTACATTTCCGGGGCATCATGCCATTCACCAACCCTGCCTCCAAAACTCCAAATACCTTCCCACGACATCGCCCTTGACATCTTCTACACCGCTAAGAACTCCAGAAGCCGCACACGCTTTCACAGTCTCAAAGTACGGTGCATTCCTAACCTCGTCAGCAGCGTACTTCCCCTCAAAGAACTCCAAGAGCTTAATTTCAGGGTTAACGTCGGCGTCCTGAGCGACGGCCTTGAGTCTCCTGACCCATTCCGTGGGCTTTACACTCTCGAATTCGAGTCCGGCGGCTCTGAGCGCTGGCAAGAAGTCGTTGTTCCAAGAGAGTAGTTTTGGGTGCGAGACATGGAACACCGGGGCTTCCTTCTGGGCAATGGGAGGAAGGCAGGAGATGTCAATAATAGTCCCGGCAGCAACATCGACCGGAACCCAAGACATAACCTCATCATTCACCGGTGCTGGCAAGGCACCAAGCGTCTTCGTTGAGCGAACAGTAAGCGGGATCGCCTCCGTCGCGTTCCAAACCCCAAACCTGGTATCACCACTGATCTGTCCGATCCTTAGCACCCTCGCCGATAGGGTTGTTCTTCCGGCGGCTGCATTGCACAACTTCTCTGTGACTAGCTTGGACTGCGCGTACCCCATCGGCATAGCACCCTCGTACTTCGGCTGTGTCTCGGGAATAGTCACCGCACCGGGGGTACTCGCAACGGATGAGATACTCGAGCAGAAATTGAACGAGGCTGGACCCGAGCGACGGGATTTCAGGCATAGCGTCATAAGGTTGTGCGAGCCCTTGATGTGCGCGCTCTCGAAGGAGCTGACGTCCATGTTGAAGTTCACCTGCCAGGCGCAGTGGATGACGATGTTGATGCTGTCTAGGAGCTCGGCATAGACGTCTTCCGAGAGGCCGAGGTGTGGGTCGCTGAGGTCAGAAGGCAGAGCGATGATCTTGGAGAGGGAGGCCGCCGATAGGTCTTCATATGTCCGGCGGAGCTTTAGGGATTGGATCGTGCGCTCATGTGCGCTGGGCTGGTCCTTGGCCCGGACGAGACAGTAGACTTTTAGCGTGCTGGGTTTTGTGGCGAGTTGGGAGACTAGATGTGCGCCCAGCGAGCCAGTTGCGCCAGTTACGATCTTGGGAATGGTTAGTTTTGTGACATCTCATCTTTTTATAGAGGGGGAGGCTTACGATGTAGTCGCCCTGCTTATCAGAGTTCGCGGGAACGTGTTGTTCAAAGTGCGAGTACTTCTCCACTAGCCCCTTCATAATTTCGATCTGGGACTGACCATCGTCCTCCTTCTCAGCTTCTCCAGTGCGAAGACGGTACAAATGCCTCGCTAGTTTCCTCACGGTCGGCTTTTCAAAGACTACATTTTGGCCGATTTGCTTCCTCGTGTTGAGTTCCCGACGAATGCTGCCTTGGATTTGCATTGATTCGAGGGAGTCCAGGCCAAGGGAGAAGAAGTCTGTGTCGTCGGTGAGGGTGGTGGCGTCTTCGAGTTTTAGGGCCTTGGTGATCGTGTTGCGGACGTATGCTTTCAATTCCTCTTCTGAGAGGGAAGCGCCTCCAGAGGCGTTGCTCTCTTCGTATCTGGCATACATAGACTCGATCTGCACCTGGAAGGTCCTGTAGAACGCAGGACGGATCACGGTGCCCTTGTCTGTTGTCGGGTAGGGAGTCCCGATTGGCAGGAAGCCGATCATCTCGGCGGAAATCTGAGCGTAAGCTGGCATACGAGAATTCCCAGCTTCGACAGACGGCCAAATTTTCTGGATGATCGCCGCACGGGACATTCCAATGGCTCGTTCAGAAGGGATAACTAGGAGTCCCAGAGTGGGTTGTTGAACACCGACGCAGACAACCTGGTCGACGTATGGATTGTCCCTCACCGAGCCCTCGAGAGCAACGGGGGTGGCGTTCTCTCCGTTTGAAAGAACGATAGTGTCATCGAGACGACCGACATACTTCCACTTGAGTGGGTCGGTAGGATGTCGCTGCCAGAGGTCGCGGGTGGAGTATGAACCATCGGGGTTGTTGGTCAAGACCTTCGAAGGCCATCCGGGGAGGATGGCGAGCTCATACATGCCTTCATTATTCTTATCCCAGCGGATATAGGGAAGGGCGTGCGGGATGGCTTTGAGGTAGCTCCACTCCTTGTCGGACTCGGGGCGGGAGGAGTTGAGGAGGGCCCCTCCTTCGCTTCTGTTTTGCCGTTTTAGTCAATCGTATTCTCTACTCTAGAGAATGGCGCAGGGGAAGGGGAGATTTACGATCCGTAGTAACTCACGAGTGTAATACCAGCGGCGGTAAGCTTGTCGCCCAATTCGTCTGGACATGCGGACCCACCACAACCAACAAACTTGCACATCTTCATGGCTTCAATGCCTCCGCCCATCTCAGCAATCATTTTCAGTGTGTAAGGTACTGAATGGAGCATCCCTGGCCTGGTGGCTTTTAATCCCGCGATCATATTCTTCCCAGTGATGGGCTGTTCTGCGCTAATAAAAGAAGTGACCTTTCCAGTATAGATGGCGCCAAACAGGACCATAATACCATAAATATGGAAAATTGGCAGTGCTGAGAATGTCGTAGCCAGATGCCTGGACATCCCAAATGCACCATTGATGATCCCAAGATGCGTTTGACCTGCGCACAAATCAAATCATGAGTTATCAATCTGCCTTCGCGGTAACCGCTGGGTTCGTATGATCACACTTACTAATCGGTTTCGGCAATCCCGTGGACCCGCTTGAGTGGATGATGAGCGCACTCCTGGATTTCTCCACCTCCATGTCGAGCTCAGTATCGAACCTCATATCCTCCAGCGTCAGACCCTTCTCCTTGGGATCCGCCTCCGGCTCATACACCCCCCGCGAAGCCATACGGACCACATTCACCGCGCTGTCGTGCCCGCTCCGCACCCGCTCCATCGTTTTCTCGAATGCTGGCTGGACGATGATGTGCAAGCACCCGGCCTTGTTGAGGAGATGTCTGTATGCTTCGTCTGATATTCTGGTGGAGAGCAGTAGCGCCGTCATGCCTAGTTTCGCTAGGGCTAGTAGGGAAATGACATAGTCGAAGTTGGAGATGCCCAGAAGGGCGACCACCTTCTCCGGGGTCTCGGATGAGGTGCGTTGGGTTATTGACTTTTTGTAGTGCCTTGCTGCGCGGTAGGCCAAGGCGTTTAGTTGGGGTGCTGTGTATTGCGTGTAGTCTTTCTTGTTGTGTGGGTAGGCTAGGACTGGGGTGTCAGGGATTTGGGAGGCTCTTAGGCGGAGGAGGTGGTCTAATGTGAGAGGGGCCTCATCCATGGGCGCAGGTGTGTTTTCGATCCTAGCTGGCATTGTGATGGTAGATCTCGAATGCTTTGTCGAGAAGATAGGAGGCTTAGGTGGTATATAAAAGGGTGAGCGGGGCAGCCTGGTAAACGTAGTCGCAAAGTAAGAATAGTATGCTCAAGAAGGGAGCAATCGCAAAAAACTGGCTTCCCAAAAATGAACCCTTCCCACCCCAATCCTATTTGATACATGCCCAATAGTGAAACCCCCCAATGTTACCTCATCATTATCCGGCGAGGGCCGACACACTTTTAGGTTCAAATAAGTAAAGGCTGAGGTGGGACTGTGATTGCGTCAAAATCGGATCCCTGAAAGTGCCAGCCACGGGTGTCCGGGATCGTGATATGGGGTTTATCGTGTTTCCGAGACAAAACAAGAAATATCGCATTCGAACGTACTAGCGACTGGCGGTCCTGGGACAATAACATGGTGTCACCATCACCGGATATCACTCAAGTGATACCGTGCCCCCACCGGATCACCATGGCGGGGAATGGTGTGGTAACCCTCGGAGACGCTTCAGGGTACTAGGGGGCAAGGACCATTCTCTAGCCTCGGATTTCTCAGAAGCAAGAAGTCGACACAACATATTCCCACCTTCTTGCCGCTCGAGATGGATTGTCGCTAGGAGGCGGGAGGGGGGGAGAGTATGATACCTCGAGGCATATCCTTTGCTTCGGTAGAATAGTAGTAGAGATGCTCAGAAACCGCTATACGCGCACAAAGACATGATCCACTGGCGCAGACGGCACCAGAGCGGATGCAAGCGTGGTTGGTGTTCTCGAGGACAAGTCCTGTATCGTATCAGACCACCGTCCATGCCATACATCACGGGTGCGTCCCGTCCATGCAGCGCCACGGTGATATGTGCCTACCGGTACTGTACTCGAGTACTCAAGTACCCGTGCCCGGCATAAAGTACTCATCCCCGGCCATACGTGCCCGAAAACAGGGATTAGAGAAATATATTGTAAAACATGTGTTTGTATCTGAGCGCCCATAAAAAGAAAATCCTCGTACTACCGGTATACCGGTACCCCCCCCTGTTTTCGGGTACCGTACCTACGGCCGGGGACGAGTATCTGAAAATGAGACACCGTTATTTTTGCTGGTAGGGTGGTTGTGTAACATAGGCCGTACTTTCAGATACCTATTGCCAGATACGGTACGGGTGGTATGCTTCGTGGAAAATCAATTCTTCAGTTCCTCCCCCTCCCGGGGTTTCAGCCCCGAGTGTAGCACAGACTCCAGTATCCAGACAATCGATCTCGGATGGTCCGGATGAAGAACCTCCACGGGGCGCGGCAAGGGGATGCCGTGGATCATGGCCTGGCCAGCGAGTTGGGCGTTGACCGCCGTTTGCAAGTTGGTGGGGGGCTCTGGCCGCAAGTGCCGGTGGCGGGTTACAGTACGGTAGTCTTGTAAGTTTGGGTGTCGGCACGGTGCGCGCGTGATTTGCGAGTGATGCATCATGCTCAAATTCGTGATTGGACTACCGCACTCGAGCGCTCGTACTACGGCAGCACAGTATCCGTATTCCCCCACAAAACACCTCCGGGATCGCCAAGGCTCTGGGCCTGCCCACCCATCCATTATCTATCCAGCGTCAGGAAGATCATCAACCACTGTAAGCCAAACCAGCCTCAAAAAATTAACAAACCATCCGACCCACAGTTGTGCGGTGCAGTATTCCTTTGCCCTCCACCTATCCCCACACCTCCTCTGTCTACCGGTAAACCGCCTGCCCCACCACCACCGTACCCGAGTACTGTTGATATCACACTCTACAAGGGAAGGGGGAAAAAGAAAGAGAAAACTCCTGAAACCCCTCGCCCCCCCAATCAACGCGGCAGGTAGGGCCGGCGTCGACGTACTTGGGTACAGTAGGTTGTGGTATGAATCCAGACGTTACCGGAGGCCACTGTCCAGCTGCCGTCTGTAGGTAGGTAGGTGCGGTAGGTTACCGGTAGGCGCGCCAGACGAATTGCCTGTGTGGGTAACGTTGCGTTAAAACAAAGTGGAAGGGGGCCTGAATACCGGTACCGGTATTGTGATTCATCTCTGGCAGCTGAGGTCATGATCCCGACCAACTACCTGGGTACAAGTACAAGTGCCGTGCTAAGTTACCGGTACTCGGGTACAAAACAAAGCCACACTTTAGAAATTTTCATTTTATGATGTGATGTCACAAATTTCCTTTTCCACCTCCCCGTCACCACCTGGTTGGTTTTTGGGAACCGTCAGCCGTTGCCTCGCAGAGTACATGCCGCGGGGTGGGTGTACAGTAGTGCCGTAGGCTGTCCCTACGATAGCAATAGGGTTGTGGGTAGGATGTCGAAGAGAAGCGCGTGCGGGGCGGTAGAGTGGGTAATCGCACCGTGGGAAGTGGAAGTGAAGCGTTTGTGGACGCAGTGGAGGTGTGGGTAGAGTCGGGAGCTTGCCTTTCCCTTGGTTGTTTTGTCTTATCTTACTGGAACTTGACTCTCCACAAGTACCGCACTGCACCGCCGACGTCTCTGTGGAGGAGATAGACCTCGGGGAAAGTCGGAAGAAGCTAGTGGTAAATCGCTTGCCCATTCCCGTCTCGTTCCTATCGACTTCTTTGTGCAACATGAACGATCTCTGCAACGAGGGTGTGCCCCGGGGTTTCCGTTCGGAATTCCCATTTCCGATCTGTTACCGGTACTATATCATATGATACCAGGAACAATCGCGGTAAGTCCCATACCCCAAACTCTGGTGATATGAGAGCGTCCGTACGGAGGTTGGCATCATGAAATTCCAAATTGCATATCTCGGCGTGGATTTGATCCCCCCTTCAGAACTTGGGACTTTCAGCTTTTGTAGACTCGGAGTAATCCCGGTGAGCCTGACATTCAGCTGCCGGTGTGAGTCTTTGGCCTAAACATTAAAAAGAGGTGGGGGGGAAACAATGGGTTTTCCCAATTCTTATTGCTCCTGGACAGGCGCGTATTGGGAATTGGGGGAAGGGGGGAGGAGTACCGTACTCTTATTTTACTACCAGACCTGAATAGCCTCTTTTGGTTCGGTGCCGATACCGAATAGTGGCCCGTGGCAAAGAAGTGAATCCACAAGGTCGTACAGTGCCTATACGGCTGGCGCCATAAGACACTCGTAGTTGATCGTCGGTCGCGCATTTTGCAGTAAAGGTGATGTTTTTCGTGTGGTTTGCGACACGGCCAGGTGTTACGCAATTCCAGCTCTTATTTTTCAACCAGTGAAACACTTGGTTCTTGTGACCAGTATCTCAAGTGTTGAGAAAGATGGTTGCAGTTTTGGGGCCTGCGTGAACTTCTGAAGTGGGGAAACCCCGAAATACCGTAAGAGCTGTATCACACCGTACTGTACCCTTTTATATGAGATGTCATGTGAATTCCAGGAGCTCAAGCTGAATATCCAAGCTCTTCTACGCCGGGAGGTTCCATAGAAGGAGATTGGATTCCTTGGTCCCGCCGGTGGGCTGGGTATGATAGTAAAATATCAGCATCCAGGCCCTCCACCTAAATGTATAATTTGGTCGTGATTCATGACGGGGGTTAATACAGTGGGCTCGAATTTTGTTTGTCCTCGTTTTTTCTCCACTGCTTTTGTGCCGTTTTCGCCATGTTGCGGAGGGGAACAGTGGACGACCGACGATGTCTTGCAACACATCCTGTATTAACTGGTCGAAACATATTACGGCACTGTGAGTTTTCTTTCCTTTCTTCCTTTCTTTCTTTTCACTTGTGCATAATATCATAATATCATAATACTTGGGGCGGCAACGATAGAGTTCACTCCACTGGCCTTGAGTTAGGCACGCGTAGTACTCGAGCAACTTACTGTGTAGGCTGAAGTGGCATAATAGAAAATGGTTAGATGGAGCCGTTTCTGGATACTCTTTTATATGGGTTTTTTTAAATTCCCGTAGTAGCCAGCCCCATACTGGCACTGTACAGTACCCTCTAGCTGACGCTCCTATCCCAAGAGTCTTTTACCAACTGTATAGCCTGGCCTGTTTCTCACTACTCGATCATTTCGACACTTCTCCCCAACCCTTTGCCTAACTTAAAATCTGCTTTTGATATATGGTAACATAATATATGAT